ATATTATTTTTCTAACAAAACAACAACCCCCCCCCYATATATCTGTGGCAGAAATTCTGTACTATAACTAATGGGGACAGTATATTTGAGTAGGGTGAATCCAGAAGCTCATGATTTTGGTAGGATTTTGTGCAAGTGGTTAAAAAAGAAAAAAAAAAAAACAAAAAGAACTTTATTAGTATCCATACCCTAGGAATAAATGGTTTTGGATGTTAGCAAACTTAAACCAGTGGGCTTTCTTCCACATAACCTGAAAACAAGGACCTGTTTCCTTGCAAGCATTCCATACTGTCCTGTCCCTGATTGATGTAAAGATAAAAATTGGTGATGGTGAATGTTGTGGTTATGGAGAGGTCAGTTCAGACAAAGCCGTGGCAGCTGATGCTGGTCACCATGCCATAGATGCAAGCTTCTGATTTGTACTTTAATTGGACCAAGATTTAGACCTATAACATGGGTGATATAGGGCTTCCAGAACATCATCCAAGTTGACAGAAATGACTGTAGAAATGCACAGCCACAGCAATGGAGGAATGCTGTTGTATTACTGAGTGGGAGCAAAACAGGATAAAAAATATTGAAAATAGGAGAGTTTGAAAGGGAAATTGCACCATAGGTAGCTCATCTTGGTAACAGGAGCACGAGGAATAAATGGAAGAGACTGAAGCAACTTTAAGAGCAAATAAGAATAATTTATTGGTGATAGGGGAAAGTGGGAAAAGCAAATGGATTTATTTGCTTGCTAGTCTCAAGGGAGGATGTTGACAGATGCCTGGAACCAACTTAAATTTCCCTAGGGAAGAAAAACTACTAAAAAAAAAAAAAATGAAGATTGCTTTAGAGCAGGTGATCCAAAAATGAGTGCAGTTGATGAGAACACAAGTTCATGATCAGTTGGGACCTGCTGATTTAATTTTAACAATGGAGTGGCCACATGGAGCAATTGTCTGGAGCATTATGCTATAGTTGAAGAGTAGAAATTTGCTTCATTGTGTCTGATTGGCCTGAAAATAAAATAGAAATAGAGAAATATTGAGTCTTAAAATTAGAAAAGATTGGCTGGGCCCGGTGGCACATGCCTGTAATCCAAGCAGCTGGGGGGGCTGAGGCAGGAAGATCGCAATTTCAAAGCCAACCTCAGCAAAAGTGAGGTGCTAAGCAACTCAGTGAGACCCTGTCTCTAAATAAAGTACAAAATAGGGCTGGGGATATGGCTCAGTGATTGAGTGCCCCTGAGTTCAATTCCTAATACAAAAAAAAAAAAAAATTTAGAAACGATCTCTGTAATAATTTTGTATATGAAGAGATTGAAACCCTACCAAAGCAGACAAGTGATTTGCCCAAGATGTGAGAGCCAGATTGGCAGAGGTGTGGAAATAGATAAAACCCAAGAGYAAAATGGGCTGCTCACATCAGCTTGAAGTTTCCTTTTACATTGAACTCCAAAAAATTCTCAGGTTCAACATTAATCATGGCCATTATTTCAGTGAATTAGAAGTAAATTAAGAATTGATGTAAAGGAAGGTCCTATTAGGAACAAAACTGATAAAGGGAGAGGACAAAGTAAAACCCAGGGAGATTTGTATAAGACTTAATTTGGTAATGTGAAGAATTTTGCAGAAGAGGCAGAAATATAATAGAGAAGAAGAGACTAGGAATAGTTATTATCTTCATTATTGTTATGAAGTGATTATATGGCATTTCATCTTCTAAACCTTTTCAAACTTTAATTAAGTGTCAAATGCAGTTAAGATCTACATTGCCCATGTACTCTAGGAAAGTAGAACATTAAGGTTTGGTGAGAAATTGAGAAAATATATTAGAACTCTCCTATTATGAAACATTGCTTGAAGTTTTTTTATGCTTTATAATGTTTAAATCTTTATATCAAAATTGTAATATAGCAGAAAAGGAGGGGAACAAAAAGAAAAGAAAATACTTGTGTACCTACACTTAAGAATAAATGAGACTTAAAAGTAAGAATCATTAGAGGAGATATGCTTTTTCATTTAAAGATTTCTTTATTACTCATGCATAAACAAAATAGATAGCTTCTGTCTTGTAAGTACTGTGTGCTACAATAGTCTTGCTTTTAAAGGCTAAGATTTTTTTTTTTCTTTCCAAGTAGCACCTGTGTTTTCTGGAGCAGTTCAGCAATAGAAGAAATGACACTTTCATTCTTGTAATGAGGCACCATTAACCAGAGGCTTTTTGTAAGGGTGTAATTTCAAACTTCATTACAGACTGAGGCTGCCGTACCACCATTACTCAGGAAAATGTGCTTCTGTTGTGACTCTCCAAWGGACCTTACATTTTTAATGCATCTTGTTAGAATATTTATGAAACAGGATCACCAATAGAGGGCATCTGTCTTTAAAGCATGTGGGTCACAAGGATATTAACTGACAGGGAGTCACTGCCCTCACTTGAGACTTTTCAATTAGAAAAACAGAAGTTAAAGGGACAAGCTGTCATCCAAAGTTTATTCTGATTCAGTCCTTATTAATAGCAAGGAAAAAGGAAGTATGTATGTGTCTGGAATTTTAWTTTTTTTTCACCATTATCCAAGTATAAAAGTCACCTGCAAAATTCACAATGGATGAGAATGAGCTCACAATAATTGTGCTTCTTTGAAAAGTCTGTACTCTGGGGAAAGTTTGTGTTTGCCTAAGTCATGCCTCAGTCTTGCTTTAGTAAGTTTAACCTCTCAAAAATATGTAAAGATCCCGACTTCCTGATAAAAAAACATTTCACATTGTAAAATTTAATTCTGCCATTGAGCTGTGCAGCAATTTCATTCAGAATGGAAGCCACTGGCTAATAGACTCCAGGGATAGGAGCAAGAGACCTGGATTTGTGTCTAATCCTCAGCCCAGAATTTGAGGTATGGGTTCCTGTGGGAGGGAAGGTTCCARCTTACCAGCTTGACACCTTCCCTTCTCTCTTCCTGAGCCTGATCCCTCAGCTCCGGAAGTGTTCAGGGCTGCTTATACCAGCTGGCCTGGCAGGAACTGTCATGTGATCCATGGAAGGCTTGTAAATGTAGGTTCTGGCATGAAGTATGTATGTATACAGGTACACAAGTACCTGTATGGCATTGTCAAATGGGAATGTTTGTTTCAAAGTATGATTAGTGATTATGACCACAGCAGTGTACCTTCTCATGTTTTTCTTCAGATATTTCTGATGTTAATATCCATAGCAGTATATGTCCAATTTTAATTTCCTCTGTACCTGCCATGAGAAGAAGGAACTATGTTCTTAAATTTCTGAAAAGTACCATGACTGTGTCCTGTTAATCTTCAAATAATAGCCTATTAGCAATGAAAACTTTGGAGAGGAAATGTACACACTTCAAAGCCTTGGATAATTTTTTACTTAATACAGTTCCCCTTTAATCTAGAGATTTTAAATTGTTTCTTCCTCATAAGGTGCTGTTCTTTTCAACTTGAATTTGCTTTATGTGATCTCCATTTAAATTCTATGTGGAATGAATATTTGCCACCATTTGCTGGTTTACACTTAGAAGCAAAGCCAGTTATGCAGCCCATAGTCTAAGTGCCAGAACAGAGGAACCAAGAGCCATCTGTTCAGACAGAAAGGACTCAAACTTGCCTGCGCTTCCTGCTTGGTCTCCTGCAGTTGTGCTCTTGCAGTTTCAGTACCAGGTTGGGATCCTGACAGTTCCCAGCTGTTCTCCACAATGGGGAGGTGCTCACTCAGGGCAGCTTCCTGCTGAGCTTACATAAATTAAAAGTTAAATGCTCACATAACAGGTGTTTGATATTTGCTGGGAATAGTCACAGCTTCACAGCATCATTGCCATGCATTCCAGACAGCATCCACACGTTAATGAAGCACTTACTTCAATTAAGTACTTGTTTCTTTCTYCTCCCTCCTCCAATACCCCACCTCATTATTACTAAGACTTGATATATTGATATCCAAAAGCGKCTGCAGACTGAGTGTGGCCCATGGATAGGGTTAGAGTCAGACAATGCCTTGAAATTCAGACTTGTTTGTCAATATGTGAACATTGGAAATGTTCACCATAGAAATTCAGTTTTGTGGATTATCTTTTTTAAAAGTAGAGGATTTGCTAACACTATTCTGTGATCTCACATGGCGACGGCCTGTGCCCCACAGAACCCTTCCCTATTTTTCTTTCCCTGCCTGGTCCCTGGCCACATCAGGTGTACACCCTTCATTGCCTATTCCACAAGAGAGCAGCTGCATCAGAGTAGTGTATGCACACATGTGCAGCCGCTGGTGCCTTATGCCAGCCAGCATGTTTGACTTCACACTTCTAGTTTGCTATCTTAAAAAGGGCATTATACCTTCCACCTATTGTCCTCGATAACATGGATGATTAACGTGAATTTTTAAAAGCATTGCAAGATAAGATTATTCATTGCTATTTAAGTAGCATATTTGAAAAATGATTTTGTGCCTGTAATCCCAGCAACAGCAGAGGCTGGGGTAGGAGGATTGCAAGTTCAAGGCCAGTCTCAGCAACTTAGTGAGGCCTCAACAACTGAGTGAGACCCTGTCTCAAAATTATAAAAATAAAAAAGGCTAGGGATGTGGTTCAGTGGTTAAGCTTTTCTAAGGTTCAATTCCTGGTATCAAAAAAAAAAAAAAAAAGATTGTGTTTCACATTGGCACTCTATGCTACACCATTCTTTGTTTAGTCAGAATTTAAATGTGTTTTGAATGAGTTTTTATTTGATACATCTTTTCTTAGAAAATTTAAAGTCAAAGAAGCCTGGAAAAAATTAACATATTTATATATTTATTTATGTCTCTGTGTATATATTTGTACATATGTACACACACACACTTATCTACTTTAGAATATGTTAATCCTGTTAATACTTTCTTAGCTTTCAGTGGTTATAATAAAATTTCTGTTGTTTAAGTGAAAAGCAAGTTTAGGATGAACGGAGAAACAAGGCACCATGTATGGGTGTTAACTTTAGATGAATGATTTTTCTTTTCAGAATAAGGCAGGAGAACGATATGGTTGATTCAGCGCCTCAGTGGGAAGCCGTGTTAAGGAGACAAAAGGAAAAAAACCAAGCAGACCCCAACAACAGGCGATCCAGACACAGATCTCGCTCGTATGTTGGCTCTTTTTATACCTTGATTCAAAAACACTGAGCTTCAAGTAGCAGGCAGATGCCCGGGGCTTTTAATGTGGTGTAGCCCAGCCACAATTCCCTGTGCTTATTTGTCAAATTTACCTTTATTTGTGACTTTCATTAAATCTATTTGAAGCTATAGAAGATGGAACACAGCCAAAACAAAATGTCATAGAAACTCAAGGCTATCAAAACTATATTTCTGTTTTGTTTGTGCTGTTTTTAAACAAATGCATATATCCAGCTGGATAAATAGAAATAGTCTCCTTTGTTCTGAAGCCTGGCCTTGGTGAAGTACCTGCTGCTTCTCTCAATTTGAGTCTGCAGAATTGTCTGAAGTCTTGCTCCAGACTGAACCAGATGTGAATGTCTTCCCATCAAATTACCATTTGTGAGCAGTAGTCAGCGATTCATTACACTCCTGTGTTGGGGTTTGTGCACTCCTGTTGCTAGGCAATGCCATGTGTGAGCACAATTACCCCTTAGTGGTGAGATTGTCAGTCCCTCAAATTAATTTTCTTCAAGCTGATAAAGTTTATGTGTGTTTGTGTGCAGTGTGTGTATGTGTGTGTGTGTGTGTGTGTGTGTGTGTGTGTGTGTGTGTATCTATGCATCAAGATTTAGACCGCCCATTTCCCAAAGCATATCTTTTTCAAGTGAGCTGGGGCTACCTATAGATCCCTTCGGTCTTGGATGGTTTGTATGGTGTCATCTACACATGGGAGGAAGGATTAATGTCTGAGGTAAGGCAGTGGAAAGATGTTGAGAAGTTGATACAGAAAAAAAAAAAATCTGGGTAGGTATGTGGGAGCTTTGAGGGAGACAGGTCAGAGTGTGCCTGAGGACAGCTGTGAGCTCTAGGTCAGGTTAGCAGGCCACGAGAGGACATGAAGGGACACTTCTAGTCTGAGTGACTAGTCTTAGATGCTGATGTTTTGATTAAAACTTAACCCAGAGTGTTTTTTGTTTTTTGTTTTTAAGTTGGTAGTACATCACAATCAAAGATTCTGTTCTTTTGTAACAGAAAACCTTTTAGGTTTAGTTGTCACTGAGCAGTATACACATTATATATTTATTCATTGCTTTATGTTTTTGTTTGGAAACCTAATTAAACTGTCGTTCTTAAAGCAGAAGTCAGAAGTTCCTTTGTCATTTTTAAAAACCATTATTTATTTCTAGGGTTCTTTATATATTCTAGATATAAGTCCTTTTTCAGGTATGTGTATGGTGAATACTTTTTCCCAGCCTGTCATTTGTCTTATGGTCTGAACATTCTTTTTGATGACCAGACATTTTAAATTTGTTATGTTGTTTATAGTTAATTTTTTGCCTACCCCAATATTACAAAGAATCTTTCATATGTTTTTCTTTTTGCTTCATGGATTTTGTTTTTATATTTAGGTCTGTGGTCCATCCAGGATTAATTGTTGCATATGTATTAAGTAGAGATTGAGACATACATCCAGTTATTTCAGTACCATTTGTAGCAAAGACTATTGTCATTGAAATGCCTTAGAGCTTGTGTCTAAAATAAATTACTATCTATATGTAGGTCAATTTTACTTCATTGATCTATTTATTTGTTGCTAAATGACCATCCTGTCTTGGTTACTATAATTTTATACTAAAACTTGAATAAACAGTGTAAATTCTCCAACTTTGTTCTTTTTCTTTTTCCCAAGATTGTTTTACCTTTGCTTTTTATGTAAATTTTTGAGTCAGCTTTTCAGTTTTTACTACTCACCCAAAAAAGACTGTAGGCTTTAAATTAGGATTATATTTGTAGATCAATTTTGACAAAATTAATATCTTCCCYACCCATTTATCTGTCTTTAACTTCTTTCAGTAACATTTTACAATTTTAATCGTTGCTATATTTATAGTATTTTTGTTAAGATTAATCATAAATATTTAATATTTTAATGATATTGACTTGTATATTCTTAAAAGTTGTCTTAATTATTTGCCAGTCTATTGAAAAACATGATTGTAAAAAAAAATACATATAGTATCTTGCTCTCCTAGAGCTTTTTAAAATTCTCTTATTCTGGAAGCTTGCCCCTTTTGGGGCAATTTCTTGGAAATTTCTATAGACACAATCATATTGTTTATAAATTCAGGCAGTTTTCCTTTATTTCTAATCCTCTTGCCTTCTTTTTCAATTTCTTCCCTTATTGTGCTGGCTAGCTCCTCCAGTACAGTGTTGAATCCCATGCTGAGCAGGAGTGGGAAGAAACTAGATATTGTTGGCTTGTTCTTTCTAGGGGGAGGCATTAGACACATCACATTAAGTGTGATGCTAGCTCTGAGACTGAGGAAGATCCCTTCTGTCCCTAGGTGCTAAGAGTTATTGAAGAGTTTTCATTGTGAATGATTTTTGAAGTGTGTTATGTGCTTTTTCTGCATCTCTTGAGATGATTGTTATATGGGTTTTTCTTCTTTATTTTTTTTTTAGTGTAGGAATTGTATTGATTCAGTTTTGAATGACATATTCCAAGGTTCAGTCCCTTGTAGTCATGATATAGTATCCTTTTAGTACATTGCTAGATTCCATTGGATATTATTTTGTTAAGATTTCTCTATGTTTTTGAGAAATATTGGCGCATAATTTTTTTTGTAATACCTTTGAGTTTTTGGTAGCAGAGTTATAGTGGATATGCAAAATGGCTTGGGAAGTCTTCCTTCTTTGTTTTCTGAAAGTAAACAAATTGAAATCAGCATTATTTACATTTTAAATACTTGATACAATTTACCAGTGGAATTCTCTCTGCCCGGGATTTCTTTGTGGGAAGTTTTGAATTGCAGACTCAAGTTCTTTAACACATGTGGTGCCATTCGTATTTTCTACTTGTTATTAGGTCTCTATAATTTGCGTTCTTAAAAGAGTTCACRTAACCACATATAGTCCTTCTCAAAGTCTGTGTCTCTATTGACTGCTCTTGTTTGTTTGTTTCTTTTCCTAGAGTATGGTTATAATTCCCTGACTCATGTCTAGTAATTTTTTATTATATGCTGGAAATTTTAGAAGGCACATTGTAGGAGGTCTGGATTATGTAGTCTTCTTTTAAACAGGGTCAAATTTTGTTGTCAGGCAGTTCAATTTCTGTCCCATTCTCTTGATATTATCAAACTTGTTTAATACGTCATAAAATGGGGCTTTTGTCATCAGCCTGAGATGTTTGTTCTCTACTTTAGGTTTGGTCTCTGCTCCCACAGCCTGGCCTTTCTAGGGTCTTAGTTGAATGCACACAGTCCTCAGCATGGGTTCTGCACTGTGACAGCAGGACTTCACCCTGCCTGGTGCTTCTGTTTGCACTTAGCCTTTCATCAGCTGTGCTATGTTAGGTCTCTTGGGGTCTCACTAGCGTATGTGGAGACTGTGTTTCGTGACCAGACCCCATCAATGTTTTAAGAAAAATCCTCATACAAACTTCTAGTCTCTAGAGCTGCCTTTTTTTTTTCTTTCATCCTGCACTTGAGTTTCAGCCTGGTCAACAGCTTCAGTCTCTGATCTCTGCCACCTCAGCAGTGTGAGACTGAGACTGTTGCTTCCTGAGTTGCACACTGAAATTGAAATTTCATTGAAATTTTACCTCTATGATCAAATTATCAGATCATATAGAGGATTTTCTCAGAACAGTGCAGCTGTATGAAACAGACCCATTAAGAGTTAGGTGTGTATCTTTCTGAAATTTATAAGCAAACTATAAAAAGATCTAGCAAATATTTGAGATGATTGTATGGCTGAGCTTGATTAATTAACTTGATAACTTATATGGCCAAAGTACAGATAAGATAGAAAAAAAATGTTTCACTCAGAAGTTGCTCTGACCCGGTAAAAGCAGATTGACAAAGAGTAAACAAGCAAAAAGGCCAATTAGAGTTTGCAGTCATCCAGGTGAGAAATGATCATAGCCCAGAAAAGATGATGGTGATGGAAATAGAGACCAGTGGATTTTGAAAGTAGAGCTCGCATATTTGTAGTATGAGAGGAATTATGGATGTTGTTTAGTTTTTGAGCTGATCAACTGAGTGGGTGACCATGCCGTTTTACTGAGAAACCAAGGAATGGGCTGAGGATATGAAAGCCAAACTTTCTGTTTTGTTAGGTTTGAGTTGCTAAACAGGCAGTCAAATGGAAACTCTCTGCAAGATGACAAATTACTTTATATAGGACAAACTGGGCTGTCTTTTATTTGCGTTAAAAGCATTGAACTGAAATATAAGGATCTTGTCTGGTAAATCATTAAGTACAGTGCCACTTAATATATTTTCTAGCTACATTGCTATGACATTCATGTTTACTATCATTAGAAACAAGTCGGTCTCAGTGAAAGCACATTCAACCTGAGCAAGCTTTTACTCATTGCGATATGGGGAAAAGCACTGAAGCTCAAACAATAGTTTTGAAAGGTTCGACTTGTGTGCACAAGTAGGCACGGGCTCCCTCTGGTGGTGATACTGTCTTACTGTTGTCCTTGAAAAGTAATTGATAATGTGGAAGATGGGTTTGTCAGGGCGAACCAGTGTTCTCAGTTAAAAACAAAACAGAAGTTTGGTATAGTTGTTCAAGATTTAATGTGAAGTTTCTGGAAGGGATTCCTGAGCAGTCTTTAAAAGCTAGGTTGCTAGGCTCCAAGGCTTCCCAATATTTCTTTAATTTGGAGAGGAATTGAGGGAGAAGAGTAAGCTATCTCCTAACTTGGTTATTCTGACCACGCAGAAATAAGATGAAAAATTACCAAGAAATTTGTCAAATACTTTGAATTCTGTAACTAAAGATAATTTTGTGAATCTAACTATTTTCAATTTTAAATTTCCTATTTGAGCTATGATCAGTGTAAAGATCACAAAAGTAATACAAGTCAAATGTTGCTATATGTACTATTTTAAAATACAATATGGCATACAAATGTAGTATAGTATATACTATCATGTAATAATATATAGTATGTACTATTGTATAATGTTTCTTGGATAACTGGAGAATTTGGAGGTTATATGAAAAGACTATATGTAATAATGGAGTTTAAATCCTTTATAAATTTATAAAATGTTCTTGTTTTGGGCTTTTGAGAGAAGGGAATTGATTTGTAAATAAGGTTTCAGTCAAACTAATTTCTCTGATTAATTTGAAGTGGAATATTTGTATGAGGTGTAGATGAAGGATGCTTTTGGAAAATATTGGACTGAATGTTTATTTTTTATATATGTCTTATCTTTGGACAACTCAGTAGTCTATTTCCTGAGGGCCTTCTTTGGAGAATTTAAGTAAAACGTCTGCATAATGAAAAGTCTTTTAATTTATGAAAAATGACTGCTAATATTTCACAGCTTTCTAAATCCACAAAATGATGAGTTGCAGACAGAACATGAATTCATCCTAAATTATTGATTAAATGAGTGCAGATGTAAGCATAAAAATAATATCTTCTTCATTAACATGTAGCTGATGTTCATATTTTTTTTCAATCATAGGAGCTCTAACAGCCAGAAAATTATTATTATTTTCTTTTAAAGCTTTGAACCTTTCTTTTTGTCTTTAGTTGTTTGAAAATACTGGATATTTCAGTGCTCAGTTTAGTTAAAAATATGATCTTATGGTGCTCTAGGACTTAAAGACTAAATTCCTGAATCTTTTAGGAACAATATTTATGGCTAGAAGGACTGATGATCTCATTCAGGTTAAGATAACATTTCTGCTAAGTCTTCTGAGATAGGAATGAAAGGCATTTCCTAAGGAATTACAATAGTAATAGTTTTTAAAAAAAATACTTAGAAACTACCTTTTTTCCTGATAATTAATATAAGAAATTATCTTGACTTAAAATATCAGAAAAGACAGGAAATAATAAATAAGAAAATTAGTTGGGTATGGTGACATATCTACAATCCCTGCACTTAAGAAGCTGAGGCAGCAGGGTCATATGAGCCTGGGAGTTTTGAGACCAGACAGGGCAATAGCATGAGACTCTGTATCAAAAAAAAGAAAAGAAAAATAAGACACCGCTGTAATCCCAATACTCAGAAATATCCACTGTTACCAGGATTTTATATATTATTCATACTTAGGATTTCTCATCACTGGGCCTGATAGGGTGGTCCTGGGGTGTATGACCTCCTTGCCCATTATTTTTCTCATTTTCCCTCCAATCTTCTTAACAGCATTCAGCTTTAATCTTATGCCATCAAATTATACCACTTGCCACTCCTCCTTATTGTTGTCATCAACTATGCCCTGGCACTTTCCTTATTCTTGTAACATTTCGTTCCTGCCTATCATTCTCTGCAGTACTATTTCAGTAGTCACCTAATGGATCTTTATAAATAACTTTGTCTCTCAGTTTCACTACCTAATCTTAGCCACTTCTTAGGTCATACCCTTGACTAGTGGTTTTTAGTTGGGGGAAGCATTGCTCCTCACAGGACAATGTCTAGAGTCATTTTTGGTTGTCACACTGGGGAGGTGTTATTAGCATCTAGTGGGTAGAGGCCATAGGTGCCACTAATCATCTTTGAGTGCCCAGACCCTTACAACAAAGAATTCTTACCCAAAATGTCAATAATGCAGAGGGGAAGGAACCCTCCTATAATGTGCAGATAGCTAATACTGTCCTCACTATTGTACCTTTCTGAAATATGAATGATTATCAGCAAAATCAGCTTCTTATCCTAAATATTATGCAATACTCCAGACTCTTGAGTAACTTTCTATGAGAATCAGATGCTGGTATAGTTAGAACTGAATGGAAAAATAACTTGGTGCCTTTTTACCACCTTCTCAGAGATTGGCATTTACTGGTTTAGCTTAGAACCTGGTGAATCAAACCAACCTAATGTAGGAAGGCAGATTCCATTCAGGAGATTCTTCCAAAGAAGTAGTTTTTAGAAGTGTGTGTGTGTGTGTGTGTGTGTGTGTGTGTGTGTGTGTGTGTTTTACGTATACAATTTTATTCTTATAACAAGCAAAATCTACATTTAATAATACCGTTCTTGTTCTGAGACTAAGTCTTCATCCCATTCCCTTAACTCCTTTTTGTTTTGACTCCTTTTGAATTGATTCCTAGGTCTTCATTGACACGTTGTTCTCCCCCAAAGACAAAACTACTTCTTTAATTCAGCGACTAGAAAATAGCTTATCATATTCTGTAGGCTCAGAAAGTTCTGCAGGAACTCCTCAGTCATACCCTTATTGTTGAAAGTATTGATGATATCATATGTTGAAACAATAGTAGAGCCCCCGAAATGCTGATACAGATGATCAACATAAAATTCCACAGATCAGAGTACATCAGTGGCTTTGCTTAACTCTTGTCCTTTCAATTGTTAACGTTTGGGAACTTTCTATGGACCTATTAACTAGACCTCTTGTTCTGATGAGGGGACTGATGAAAGTTTATCATTTTCTCAATAGGAAAAAAATCATTCTGTGACAAGAATTTGGGTGATAATAGATTTTTAGTATTCACAGCTACAGTAGGAGTTAATAGTTCAAACTAGGAAGAACAGGAACACATGGACATTGATTTTAGATTTCTCATTCTGTGACATTAAAGACTATGGTATAATTTCTACTTAAGTAGTTCTTGAGGAAGGGATTTGTGGATTGACAGTTAAGGATAGAAAAGAACATATAAAGAATGGCCACATGGCCGGGTGCAGTAGCACACACCGCAATCCCAGTGGCTCAGGAGGTTGAGGCAGGAGGATCTCAGGTTCAAACCCAGCCTCAGCAACTCAGTGAGGCCACATGATTGGAAGCCAACAGATAGCTTTAGCTTTTGTGGACCTAGGTTTTGGTTGGTGCAGAAATGTTATACCAGATGTCACATGAAAGATGGATTATCTGTATATAGTCTGCCATCTGGGATGTCCCACCAGTTGCTTTTCCCTTGTGGTTATTGGCTTGTATTAAGTAATCACAGATCATGTTGGGACTCTCACCTAGTAATAGTAGTTGGATGAGTTTTTCTTTTGCCTTTACTTAGCAATAGCTAGCATGATCAGAAACCAAAGTCCCTGAATCATTATTGATTGTACAGTCACCACTGGAGGATACGTGGATTTAGCCCTGCAGTTCTAACCTCATCAAGTAAATTAAACTCTGGTTATGGGTGGTTTTTATGTGATTTTTTTCCCCCTTCAGTGGCACCATGAGATGAATTAACTGGTGTTTTTGTACTGACCATTGCTGTAGCCCTCCTTGCTCAGTCTTTGTTTGGTCTCAGCTGGCAAATAAGACCTTCACAGTCTGAAAACTATTAAAGTTAGCTATTAGATTGCAGATGAAGCATATTTTCAGAGGTGAGCATTGTTTTCTTCATTTATAGGAGAAGCCCTGATATTCAAGCAAAAGAGGAATTATGGAAGCATATACAGTGAGTATTGAGTTTTCCTCATTGTTTTTAAAACCCGGGAAGTTTGTTGTTGTTGTTGTTTTAATCCATGTAGTTTGAATATAGTTACAAGAAAGACTGTTGTAACAAAGAGGCAGCCTCCATCTGAGGCCTGGCAACTAGTCTTATCAGCATGATATGGTACAGGCAGCCCTATCACCTCCTCTCCTGGGGTCACTTAGCTTACCTGTAAATGGACTCAGGCCAATAGTTTACAAATGAATACCAAGGGGAAAAAATCCAGAAATAAATAGATCCCTACCACAGGGGAGGGAAGCAGAATTGTCATAGGAAGTGAGAGACAGTTGAAAAGTGTGGATGTGGTAAAACTGAAAGAAGGCAAAAGAGCTCCAGAAGAGGTTTCCTCCCGTATTACCTTGGGCACATTCTCACATTTTCATCTTTGCTCCCAGCTTATATCAGTCTTATTAACACTGCATTTTGTGACAAAATTTGAAAGGGAAAACTCATTTGCTGATTGTGAAAGAGAATAGCGTGTATATGAGCATGGCCACATTTATTTTCTTGCTTATTTCCCTCTAGAAAGGAACTCGTGGATCCCTCTGGAATGTCAGAAGAGCAATTGAAAGAGATCCCATACACTAAAATAGAGTATGTCTTTGAAAATCTTTTCACAAAAGTTTTATTTGTGCTTCTATTCATTCTTACCCTTTATTTGTGTTCCATRGAGTGCTTTAATTTGTCTGTATATTTTAACTAAAGTTAAAAGTGAATATAGGAAGAGAGGTAGAAAAAGGTGTATCTTACTTCTGCACTCTAGTCAATATCCTGTTAGAAGCCCCTTTTGTATGTGGTAAGTGCAAGGGGCTTTTGATGATTAATGTCTGTTTTAGAATAAATTCTTGCTGGGCACAGTGGTGCATGCCTGTAATCCCAGCAACTTGGGAGGCTAAGGCAGGAGGATTGTGAGTTCAAAGCCAGTCCCTCAGCAGATTAGCGACGCACAAAGCAATTCAGTGAGACCCTGTCTTTAATAAAATATTAAAAAGTACTGGGGATATGGCTCAGTGATTCAGCACCCCTGGGTTCCATCTCCAGTACCTGCCCCAATATATATATTTCTGAAGTATTTATTTATTGGTAACATAGTTTGCATTTATCCACTATTTTACCATCAAGAGAATTATGTTTACCACAAAACTGTCATGTAAGACCAAGATGGTCCCTGTCATAGAGCTAGCACATTCAGCTGGATAGTCTTCATGAAAGCCTGATAGGTACCCCTGGTTGCTCATCGGTGTGGCTACAGCATACCTTTTACTGTGTTTCCTGCCTTGCTATAATTGGTTCAGAGAAAGTGGGAGCCTTCTTCCTTGCTTTATTTCTCTTCTGCAACACAGGCTTCTTTCCCACTTAGAAGAATTGCTGATTGGTGGCCTCCAGCCTACCCTAACTTGTTTTTATGCCAAAGATTGAATTTTAGATATAATTGAATTAAGATATAATTGACAAAAATTATAGATACTTATGGTATATGATGTGATATTTTAATGTCTACATTGTAAAATCATTAAATCAAGCTAATTAACATATCTACCACCTGACATCATGTTTTTGTGGTCAACCACATTTAATATTAACAACTTTCAAGTGAAGATTAAATTCTTTTTTATTATTTAATTTTTGGTACTAGGGATTGATTCCAGGGGCACTTTACACCTGGGCTACATCCCCAGTCCTTATTTATTTTTTATTTCAAGACAGGGTCATGCTAAGCTGCTTAGGGCCTCACTAAGTTACTGAGGCTGGCCTCAAACTCRCAATCCTCCTGCTTCAGCTTCCCAAGTCATTAGGATTACAGGTGTGTGCCAACATGCCTGGCTGGAAATCAAACTCTTAATGACAGTCAAGTTAGTAATTATGATAATGATCAACTTTTTCTGATAGTAGTTCCATTTGTCTGCAGTGTAGATTTTTCTTCCATACTACTGGAAAGCATTCAACTGTAAGGAGTAATTTCATTGAAAGTTTGGTGGCAAATATATACACATATGTATACACACACATATATATACACAGCCTWTATATACATGTATATATATATTTGTATATATTATGTACACATACCTTTGAATTCATACAAAGGTATGTGTACATAATAAAAGAGCTCCATATTCATGTATGGTCAAGGAAGCATTTTCCTATTGTTAACAGGTGAAATTTAAGTCACTCATGCTTTTAGAGTCCAGAAGAGACAAATTTTATTTTTTTGCACCAAGGATTAAATTTAGGGGCACTCACCACTGAGACACATCTCCAGCCCTATTTTGGGTTTTATTTAGAGACAGGGCCTCACTGAGTTGCTTAGTGCCTYGTTTTTGCTAAGGCTGGCTTTGAACTCATGATCCTCCTGCCTCAGCCTCCCGAGTCACTGGGATTATAGGCATGTACTACCATGCCTGGCTGAGACAAATTATTTGAATAATCTGTCTGATGGTAATTTTTTTCTTTATTTTTTTAGTTTCAAAATTAAAGGAAAATTCCAAATTATCCTGTTTTGACTTTTGCCATATTTGTTTGTTTTTTGTGTATGGGTGTGTGTGTATATATTTTTATTTGTTTGTTTGTGTATTTCTTGTTCAGGACTCAGGGTGACCCAGTCCGCATCAGGCATTCTCATTCACCACGAAGCTACCGCCAGTATCGAAGGTCCCAGTGTTCAGATGGAGAGCGATCTGTTCTCTCAGAARTGAAGTAAGTAGGTAGCCTGGGGATGTCACCTGCCTGGTGGCTCTGGAAAAGCAGAGTCTGGTAAAGCTCTCTGCAGTGATGGAAATGTCCTATATCTACACCATCACCCTCTTTCAAGTTAAGTTCTGATTCTAGGTGCTATTCATTCATTAATTCTGAAACTCATCTCTGCAGTTCAAAAACAGATCTTGTACCACCACTTCCAGTGACTCGTTCTTCAGATGCTCAGGGTTCTGGTGGCTCTACAGTTCATCAGGTTAGTAATAATAAAGTTCTAAGTGTTGTACTGATGGCCATTTTGAGAAGCATTTTGTGCTTTGGGGAGTTCCTTCAGATGAATCATTAACTTCCTTTTTGAGATTCTATTCAAATAGGAGAAGGAATGAGGAGGCAGCGCTCAAGACCAAGACACAGCCTGATTAAGTTAGGAATAAGAGGTAGAGGATAGTATGAGGTTTAAAATGTTCTGAACCTTGTGACCATGCCAAGTATTTTGAAGACTGAAAGATCATTTGATTAGATTAAAGAAAAAATAGCATCACTAATTAAAAAAAAAAAAAGTCTTTTTAGGTATTTTTTGAGCCAGAGAAACAAAGAGTAGGTGATAGATTAACAGGTGGGGTGACAGATGTTCAATTGTCAAACAGAAGAATTAGTCCTAGTTTAGGTCTGTCCTCCCTATTAGAGAGAATGAGTTTCATGCTGGAAATGTTTTACAAATGTGTTTAAAAGGGAATTCAAGGACACAGTAGAGCACCTTGTTGTTTTAAGAAAATTAACAATCAGTGGAGGTATACAGATGTATCAGGGAAACACTGTAGCAAGTGTATTTCTATAGTGTTTGAGATCATCTCTCATGGTCTACTTTTTAGCAAAATGGGAAAAATGTGGGCTGAATAAGATATTTGGATATATAGTTGGGTAAACAATCACTCCAAAACCAAAGTTAATGTTTATGAAGGATCAGTGTCAGCCTATTTTTACAATTCTGGGGTTTTCATTCTTGTTTGGATGGTGGATTCCTTAGAAGAGCCAATTATAAATATTGTCTCTCTCCTCATCAAAAATGTGTGAAAATGCATACATCACGGACCACCTGTTAAGCCTGATCCCAGTGGTATCCATGATGTTCTACCTTTCATTTGCCCTGTTTCTTTCTTTCTTGGTGCTGGGGACCAATCCCAGGGCCTTGTGCATGCAAGGCAAGCGCTTTACCAACTGACCTATGTCCCCAGTCCTTGCCCTGTTTCTTTCTTATCAATAATTCAAACAAGGATGAAATAAGTCTGTGCTAATTTTGCTTAGATTCCCTAGTAACAGATTCTGAGATGGAGATTTACAGCAGGAAGTTTATTGAAAAGTATCCTTAGGATTAACACTTGTTGGGGAGTGAAAGAAAAGAGATTTGAGAGGAAAGAGTTGTGTGATATAGTCCCAATTAAGGCAGTAGTTGATTCTGTGGGAAGCTCCAGAGATGGCCCTTTATCCTACCTTGTAATACTACACACTCACCATTTGGCAGTTATCTGATAAGGAGTGCTTCTGGRAGAGACACAATCTTAAGTGACAAGGCTCTTTTCAGCAGAGGGTAGTTCCTGGGAAGCAGCTCAGTTTTGAGCCTTAAGTAGTTAACCCTCCTGGCAGCTGGAGGAATGAAAGTCTTTGTCTGGAATGGAGATTTAGCAGTAAACACAGCTTCTGCTCTAATCTGCTTACTGTTTGATTAGTTAAATCTGGGAGAGCTAATAAATTGTCAAAACAGATAATTTGTTTCAAGTTGAAAGTACTTTTTCAAAGTTACACTCATAACTGATAGTTTGGGCTTTGCCTTTGGAAAGCTCAAACCTCTTAGGATTATTATGATGATTATCAATAAGCACTAATAGATTTCAGAGGTTTTTTTTTTTTTGCCTTATATTTAAGTTGGTTTCAACAAGAACAGGAATTTTATTCTACTGAAGTTTTACTTTTCTAACTACTATAGATCCTCAACTTAATTACCATCAATGAGGAATTTCAAGAAACACAAATTGTACACAATAAATGTTGAAAAGGTAGCTCTTTGTTGCATACAATTACTCAGGTGCATCTTCTGATCATTGGCTCTGATTGTGAGCCTGACTCTGGGATGCATTTGATTTAAAATTCAACAACTAGGTAATGAGCATTTCTAAAGCTTGACATGCACTGGTCTGAGCAATCATCAAAGTATGGCCAATTGACCAAATTTAGTCTGCTGCCTGTTTTTGTACAACCCAGAAGGTAATAACAGTGTTAAAAAAATAATATGCAAAAGAATATAGTCCACAATCTGGCCCTTTACCAAAAAAATGTTTGCTTATCCTGGCCTACTTAAAAGTAAACAGGCAAAATAATTTAAATAGTAAGCATTCTAAAGAAATAAAGATCTAGGGGCTGGAGTTGTGGCTCAACAGTAGAGCGCTTGCCTTGCAAGTGTGAGACCCTGGGTTTGATCCTCAGCACCACGTAAAAATAAATAAATAAAATAAAGGTATTGTGTCCAACTACAACTAAAATTTTATATATATATATATATATGAATGAGAGAGAGAGAGAAAGGTCTAATAGTCAATAGAGTCAATCTCACTTTAGATAGTGCCATTTAAAGTCGATATCTAGCAGGAGAGGAGCCAGCCATGTGGGTGGGTGGAAGGCTGGGGCAAGTAGGGGGAAGAGCATGGGAGAAATGCTGAAACTGGAAAGAGCCTGGTTATATGAGGAGCTAAGACCAGTGTGGCCTGAGCATAATGAATGAGGGTAAATAACAGAGGACCCTTAGAATTCAGGGGAAAAGAGTTTGGATTTTATGCCTTTCTAAGTGCCAAAAAGGAAGCCATTAATCTGGCTACCATGTAGGAAAGGGACTGGAGTGACCAGTAGAAACAGGAAAGTTGTGTTTCCTAAGCTCCTCTGTAGTGCCAGAGTTCTGACAGTGTCCTGGTCTATACCCCACCTGGTCTTTTAATGCACAAGCAATAATGGAGTGGATTAGGTAGGGACTCAATTCAATGCTAAACAAACTTACAAGGTAGTATTTCAGATCACTTCCTAGCTGTTGTACTAGTGGTTCTTCTGCTGAAGTCCTTTCTTCTCTTACATGCATTCTACTACAGCCTCTAGCTATCTAGAAATCTTCTATTTTAGATTCATAATTGTTATTCTTAGCAGAATTATTCTATCAGTCCTTCTTACAAATGAAGGCAGTCATAGGAATAAATGAAAGATAACTACTTCCTAAAGGATGATTTTTAATGTATTTTTTTTTTTTTTTAGTTGTAAATGGACACAATATCTTTATTTTTAATGTGGTGCTGAGGATTGAACCCAATGTCTCACATGTATGAGGCAAGAGCTCTACCACTGAACTATAGACCCAGCCCTGGATGATTTGTTTTTTAAGTCCAAATGACTCAAAATAGGAATATGGATAGTGTCACCCATATGTGTGATATACTTTCGTGGAAGAAAAAAATGCTTCCCAGTCTGATCTATAGACCATTTGGATCATTGGTAAGGGCAGGAAGGTTGAGGGAAGTAGTTTGAGGTACTGTTAGTAGCATTCTCAGGGCTTCATCCAGTTGTGGATTGTGTACAAAATTCAATTCTAGAAGTTTTGGGTATAGTGCCCAGGCTCTGGTAACTCAGCCAGCCTTTTTCTCTATGATGAAGCAAGCGCTCACATCACAAACTCTGATAAGTGAGGGGTCCCTTAAGTCATTGTGCTGTGCATATTGTTTCATTCAGTGACTTCTGAAAACAATTTATAATTATGGAAGACTTTAAGTTACTTCAAGCTGTATTTTCATCTCTCTGCCCTGCTTGGAAAAGTGGGAAGATTGAGTCTGGTTTAGGAATTATTCATAAAAAAATGACTTATTTGGGTGAATTATGCCTAAATTTCATGAATAAAATTCACCATGTACATAATTGTCAAGACTGACAAGATTACACACATTTTAAATATTTGAGGGAGTATTTGTCAAACAGCTTTTGGTATTATGAACCTGAGTAATAACCTGATGTGGTTTTAAAAATAATTGATTTGGCTGTATTTTCTTCTGACCGTATTTTTTCAAATTTTCTTTTAGAGAAGAAATGGGTCTAAAGACAGCCTGATTGAAGACAAATCTCAGACATCTACAAGCAATCTAACTGGAAAGCACACAGCAAAAACAATAAAAACTATTCAAGCTGCTCGCCTCAAGATAGAGACATGATCCTGGTGAAGGGCCAGGAATTGGAGTGGGAGGGGTGTTGTGTGCCATTGGTACTTTGAAACTGTGAATTTATTCAAACCTTGCAAGTGTTTCTTCAGCACAAGACCCTTTTAAGGGTCAACTACAGCATACCTATGCTGAAGGGCCTTTTAACTGGAAGGATGGTCTTGTAAAAACTCCAATTTTCCTTTCTGAAACAGGGTAACAAACTATCCAGCTCTATCTTATGTCTGGTCCACCACCAGATGCTTCAACYTGGAATCCTGGCCTGCAGCTGGCTTGCTGTGCAATAGTATACCAAGTGGGAGGAAAACATTATTCCCAGCTCTTGGTGGTTTTCAGCTTGTGCTGGGGTGCACAAGGACTAAGACATCACTTTCAAACTGCAATTTTTACTGATATAAAGTTCTTTGTAATATTGTATTTTGTGGCATTAAGTTCCACTGTTTATTTACAAATGTTGTAAAAAGCTTTGTTTTTAAGTGCTGCTTTTAATTTCATAAGTGCCCTAGTTGTGTTTTTCTGGAAAAAAAAATGAGAAAAAGGTTTTAAGTGTGAATTTCAGTTGTCATTCCACCTTACTTGCCTCTTTCCTTAGTGATCTTTTCAACCTATGGGGAAAATACAAATACTCATCTTCCACCCTTTCTACCTGTACTTTGAATGCCATCTCTCCTCAGGATCCTTGTCTCTGCTTTCTGTATATTCTTTTCCTTATCTTTGCCACCTGGGTTTAAACATGACTACAACCTAACAGTTCAATTTTTTTGTGACCACAAATCTCTCAAACTACAATTTTTCTTCTCTATTCTTGGCTAAATTCTTTGAAGATGATCTTCATCTTCAGTCAGTGCCCTCAAGTCATCAAATGCCTATTTAAAACAATATGGATGCTTCTCCCACCACTCCAATGAATCTTCTGTCACTAATCTCCAAACTTTTATTCTTAAAACATGCTCTTCCTTCTGATGTAATGCAATCCTCTTTTGCTTCTACCATTCTGACCACACTTTACAGTCCTATACTCTACCTTTCTTTTCAAACCTCAGATTTAGAGGACCTTTCTCTACTCAGGTTTCATTTATWTCCATGGCCTCAAGAATCCTGTAGCTTAGCCTCCAGTGTTTTGCTAAGAGGCCAGTTGGATTTTTCAAAGGCTTCAACTAGCTAAGCACTGGCCCACAACCTAGACTTAGGGCCATTGTCACAGTGTAAGCCTAACTCATTATGGACCTCTATATTATCAAATCCTGTTTATTTTGCCCTTTTTAATACAGTGGTCCAAATCAGTCATCTCTTGCCTGGACAACTGTAGTGGCATGTAATTGGGCCACTTGCTCTGCACTGTTATCTTACTGGATTTTCTTTTCTTGCTTTAATAAAACACAAGCCTTACATGATCTAGTCTATTTACTACCTCTTTAACCTCATTTTGTAACATGCCTAGCTCCTGTAATAGCCATCTCACAAGCCTCATTGAACATTCAACTCTCKTTTAAACGAGAGTACTGAGAAGGGAAAGCAGCCAAAACTGTCATATGAAGCAGACCCACATTATCTAAGGTCTCTGCACATGTCATTTGTCCATATTCACCTTGGAAAAACGGCATCTACCTTTAGTCAACTTTGCTTTCTCAGGTTTCCCAGATGTGGTCAAATCTCACTGTGGTATTCATCTCACAAAGGAAGATAAAGGGTCCCAGCGGGTGGAACTGTTTTGCTTATCATTGTGTTCCCAGATCCTAATACATTACTTTTAAATAAAATTCTGAATGCCTGAACACACTATTTGCTCTTTCCTATTAAGTAAAGGAAGAATCATTACCCAGTGTCTTAAATTCAAGAAAACCATAGTAGTTTGAGTTCATGGGAAGAAAAGTATTTATTTTTCTTCGGCCGTTGCCAGAAGCTATCATAAGACCACCAGTGGCCATGATAGCACTGATTATTGTTTTTTAATATTAAAAAAATTGTCAATAGAAATTTATTTTATTTACTTATATGCTGTGTTAAGAATCAAACCCAAACATGCCAGGTACATGTGCTACTGCTGAGCCACAGACCCAATTATTTCAATACTCCTCAGACTCCTGGAAATTTTTTAAATGATCAAGCAACTTTTGAAGACCAAACTTCCAAAATCCGTACCAAGGATGTCCTGAAATAAAAGAAAATACTCAATTTGAAAAGTACATATTTACACATTACATTTTAATATATTAATAAAGAACTTAGTAATAATAAATCCTCAGTATTAAAAGTCATATCATTTCTGGATTTTATGCTTGAGATCTGTCAAGTTTTTTTTACATTTACTAGAAAGAAACAAATCTAATGATATCCAGAAGTAGAATACTATGTTTTTACTTTTTCTCTTCAATATTGCCTACTCAAGAAAAAGATAAAATCTCCACAACTTCTACTTTGATATCATCCTACCTTAAGTCACCTTTGTGCTCAAGTGTTCAGAGGTCAGTAGTCCGCTTCAGGCATCCATTATTCACCTGAACAAAAATTAGTTGAAACAGGTTACAAGAAACATACTGAACACTGTTCGACTTAAAGATGTATATACAAATTAATGTAAATGCAAACTGTCACTTATGCAGTTCCTACACCAAAAATATAAAATTTAAGGGCAGGAAAAGGCTGCAAAGTATTTATTTGTGCCTTTTTTGACACCACATTCACTAGTTTACAAAAGTGAACGGGCAACACAAAGGCTCCGTGAAAACAAAAAGTTCGGTTCTACCACGGCAGAGGCTGCTGACTGGCTGAGATGAAGTGATTACTGCTTGAAAAGAATACAACTAATCCTACCCGTTAATGAAAATTGAAACAAAACTTTATAAACGGTGGGTTACAATTCTTATCCCGAGTAAGCTGGTCAATTTGCTTACAAGAAAACTTACCTACAAAGTTGGTGATACTCATTCAGTTTCGGCCRACCTCTGCGCCAGAGTACACGTGTAGTGATCTGCATTTCAAAGGGCACTTGACCCACTTCACAGTGGGCTCGGGCAGGCACAAAGCCATTTACATCGTGGGGCCTTCCCGGGTCACGCAAAAGAATTTGAACTTACGCCCAAGGCTCCCTGGCGTACAATCGGCGATCAATAAAAGCWAATCTAGTTAATGTCCCATTTCCCGGGAAGGGAATACAGGCCCAAGTCGGCCTCAGGCCCTCAAGAGGATCCTCGGAGGATGTGGCCCATAAGGTTAGGCCGCTGCCGTGCGTATTTGAGTCCCGGACCCTTAATCGTGGCCCGGCCATCGCAGGCGCTTCATCAGGCTCAGGGCGGTCGCCCTTGCTCCTCCGAAGCCCGGCGCTCGGGCGCGGGAAGCCGCGTGGCCCGCCAATAGCCATGCCGGGACCCCAAGCACACTACAGACCGCGAGAAGAATAGGAAGAAAAAGGCAGAATGGGCCTCCCACAATGCTTTTCAACGACTGGAAGGGTCCACTGTGCTAGAGGCGCGGGGAGAACGGACTGTACCATAGGCTGCCGTACTCTCGTGTGCCGCCGTGTGGCCGGAGGGAAAAGCGCTCAGTGAGGGGCTGTGGGACTGGTTTCCTAAGGAAAGAGGAGAGGAGGGAAGGTCCGGTTTGAGGATGGGTGACCAGTGTTTTCGGTAGGGAAGGAGGTTTTATCAAAGGTGGATATCCTACCATCCCTCCTCCCAGGGTTGAGAACGTATGGTCAGTACCGAGCAGCGGACATAACCCAAAGAACTTGGGACCCAGAGTTTTGTCCGTCGACACAAAGAACTGTCGTGTCCAACTGAGGCAGAGTAAGTCATTCATTTTTAAAGGTTTTATTGAGTACTTAGAGTGCTCTAGGCTCTGTCTAAATGCCTGGGAATTCGGGTGTGAATGAGACCGACAAGGTTCCAATCTTACGTTCTAGTTGCACGAGGAAGACCCAAAGCCCTTAAACGCGGATACTGTAATTTCACACAGTATTAAGACCCCCCGCCCCGCCAAAAAAAAAAAAAAAAAAGCAAAAAGCAAAAAAGGGTAAAGC